AAAATATTAAAACACAGCATGCCAGAGGAAAAGTGTTCAAAAGCATTGCATCCACAAGAAATATTTATATTTATTGAATATAAAAAATGTTGTAACTTCTCAGTAATGATTTCATGTTTAAGTGTTTAACTCCATCAATGACAATGGCATATTTAATCTAAATGTTTATATCAGAAGTAAAACAGTTTAAATCATTCTTTTATTTATTTAAACTGTTATTGTGAACATGCACTTTTTTTATGATTAGGACTCTGTCGTTAGATAGGCGTTAGTTTCACTAAACGGCACAATGCGCTCGCTGGCTCGGACATTTAAGAAGGGATGAATATTTGCCTCAAGTGATATGCTTGGTGAGTGAAATTATATTTGTATTATCTTTCTGTATAGCCTATGTATAATTTTCTTTAGATTTTCTGTCTAAAAGTCACCAAAAAGACATTTAACTCCAGCTCACCATCGGTGTCGCCAAACTGCTCCGTCTCCAAAATGTTCGTACGCATGAGTTTGCGTGCAGGTGCGCACATTTTTCCGTCAAGTTTGTTTTTATAAATCACAACTTATGCGTCGGAAGTGGCGTACGCCTCTTTCAGGGCCTGTTTTGTGCGTACGCAACGGTTATAAATGAGGCCCCAGGACATTCACATACAGAGCATTCTCTTTAGTCTAATCGCGCATAGATGCAAAAAAAAAAAATCTTTTGCAGTTCATAATGTAACGATAGTTACAATACAAGGATGATGCTGCGTTAATTTACGTTAAGCCTTTTTTGCACTTCCTGATTTCCCTACTTGAGAATCCTTGTCCAATGAATGGACGACCTTAGCACACGTGTGGTTTTGTTTACAAATTTTGGTTCACTTGCAAAAAGAGCAGTGTGAAAGCGAACCGTACCAAAAAAAAAAAATCAAAAAAAAAAATTATTTGGTCCGGACCAAAGCAAGTGAACTATCGGACTTTCCTGGTGTGAATACACCCTTAGATTTAGTCCGAGAGTTTTCGGTCCCTCCATTTAAATTGTATGTACGGTATACTGTCCTTGTCCAGAAAGGAAATAGAGACATCATCAAAGTAGTCCATGTGACATCAGTGGGTTAGTTAGAATGTTTTGAAGCATCGAAAATACATTTTGGTCCAAAAATAACAAAAACTACGACTTTATTCAGCATTGTATTGTCTTCTGGTTCTGTTGTCGATCCGCGTTCAGTGCCGCCGCTGATGACGCTGCTGACGTGTGTCTGGTGCGTCCGTGTATTTCGGGTTCAAATAAATATGTCTGGGCAAAAAAATGCAAGTCTTCCTCTGTGTGGAAATCCTTAGACATGTTTGCGAAGATTGTTTTGTTTACAGCGCGCGTCTCCCTCAGACTGTAAACGAAGCTCGGGCTCACCAGACACACGTCAGCAGCGTCTTACGTCAGCGGCGGCACTGAACGCGGATCCACAACAGAACCGGAATACACACACACACACACACACACCAGACACACGTCAGCAGCGTCTTACGTCATCAGCATCACTGAACGCGTATTGACAACAGAACCGGAAGAGAATATAATGTTTAATAAAGTCGTAGTTTTTGTTATTTTTGGACCAAAATGTATTTTCGATGCTTCAAAACATTCTAACTAACCCACTGGTGTCACATGGACTACTTTGATGATGTCTTTATTTCCTTTCTGGACAAGGACAGTATACCGTACATACATTTTCAATGGACGGGCAGAAAACTCTCGGACTAAATCTAAAATATCTTAAACTGTGTTCCGAAGATGAACGGAGGTCTTACGGGCTTGGAACGACATGAGGGTGAGTCATTAATGACATAACAGGGCCTGAATTTCGTTTTGAAAAATGGGGGGGGGGGGAAATCCCCCCTTAGATGATTCTCATGGGGGGGGGGGGGGGTTTGTTTGAGGGGAGAAAGGGAATTTTTTCCAAACAAAATTATTACATTTATCTTGCCTAAATGTTTGCGCTCATTGCATTTTTACAATGGGTTAGGCCTAATATTGATTTTATATGATAAGAATTTACACATCACAAGGAAGCTTGATTTAAATTGTTTAATTAAATTGAAAAAAGTAGCACAAATAAATACAATAGAATAAAGATACAAATAAAGAGAAAAGTTTTTGAATAGGTCTCTAACACTAGTATTCATATACAGAAACTGAATAAAGTAATCAAATGGAAAATAACACTGGGTAGTATTTTAGTCCTGAATAAATTAAAAACATAGGCTATTAATCCTGTTTCCTTTAACTTAAAGCTATCTTTTGTTGTTTTGACAACAAAATTAATGACAGACACATACGGCTGCCGTCACTTTAAGAGCTAGTGCACGGACCCTGTGTTCATTATACTGGCATGCGTTTTATGCTTATTAAAGACAAAACCGACTATGTTTAGAGTATACTCACGAAGACCGAAATTGACAATTTTGCGTGTTAAAGCAATATAATCCGTGAAAAATAACTTTTGTTACTGGCCAGCTGTTCTTGAGGCGGATTTTCTATGAATGTGCGCATAGAAAATCATCTCAGAGAGCGGGCGAAGCACTGATTAGTTTAAAATCGCTTAAATGTTTAAACTGGTAAGACTTAAAAAGACGTACAAATGGTAAACTTCAGTCACGATGCACTGCTGGCCCGATTGTGCAAGTGAATATTCCGTCATGTCCCGACTCCTAAACGCGAGTGTGTATTATCGCCGCAGCGATTGATGCTTGCCTTACACAACACATTATGAGAGAAGAGATAGAAGACGCGGCACCGCTGAACACTCACGCTGTTTGTGAAATTGCGTCTGACAGATAGTTGTTAAAAGAATGATTTGATTTTATATTGCGGGAATTTCCCGCACCGAAATTCGATCCCTGCATAATTTTCATTTTTGGGTGAATTAACTAACCCTCTAAGTACTACAGTGCATCTCATCCACACGGACTGCAGCAGATTTGCCAGTTCTTGTTGCGAGATGTAAACCTACTCTTCCAAAAAGGCAATTGGAAGTTCTCAAACATGTCTGGGGGCACATATGGTTACATGTTGTTTGCCATGCGAGGTTGATCGGTTGCCCTTCCTGTCTCCCTATAGCACTGTCTGCATCTTACATTATGGACATGGCAGTTTATTGCGCTGTTCACATCTGCAGTCCTCATGCCTGGTGTGGACTGTGAAAACTGAGGTATTTGAAAACGATGAAGCATTTTTAGTCATGTGACGCATATTGAACTGTTAGATATGTGTTTTTACCGCTATTACGCGCTATAACTTTCACACTGTTGCTAAAGATATGTTACTTTGTACACTCCTCATATCGCAGTCCTGCAAAGATTTACTCGCAATTGCTGTCCTGTGCCAAAACATGAGAGCAGTTGTGTTTTAGACCAAACATTTAAAGGCGAGTGAGTGCGACCCGGACACATAAGTGAATGAAATAAAATAATCCTGCCTGAAAAATAGCATGAGAACTTGATTATGTCTGTTCCATCAGTATCATCTAATTGAGCTTTTTTGAGGGTTTTACACATGCACAATAAGGTGAATTTATCATTTTCGGGCGTTTCATTGAGGATGAGAAACCTTTGGAAAATGCTTGAAAACGCTAGTGTGGAAGGAGAGCATTTTGAAACTAAAACGCAGTTTTCAAATATCCGGGTTAATGTAGATTTAGCCTTAGTGTTTTAAGGACTGTTCCACAGGTGCACATGCAATAATTGTTCATTATTTCTGGTTAAGCATGAAAAACATTATTTAAACCCATTCCAAAAAAAAAAAAAAAAATCTGTAAAGCTTATTTGGATTTTACAAAATTATCTTTAAAATACAGTATGCTAAAAAATGTATGTTTCTTTTTTGCTGAGTTTATTTATCTTTTAATGAGTCAGATGTCACATAATTAATTTGCTTAATGTTTTAATAACTCCAAGTCCTTATAATATTTATAAAATCAAGAAGGCCTTCACTGCGGGTTGTCCTAACAATACCCTTTACCCTGACTATATTCAAAACACATTTTTTTTTGTTTATATACAATTATATATTATATACATTATATATATATATATATATATTATATAGGCCTTTATACACAAACATGTAAATCAAATATGTATTTAACAATGTAAAAAATATATATATATTAGGGCTGTCAAATGATTAATCACGATTAATCACATCCAAAATAAAAGGTTTTTTTACATAATATATGTGGGTGCATTGTGTATAATTATTTTGTATATATATAAATACACACACATGCATGTATATTTAAGAAAAAAATATAATTTATATATAAAATATTTATATTTATATATAATATAAATTATATATAAATCTATATACAGTATATACATGAAAATATTTCTTAAATATATACAAGCATGTGTGTGTATTTATATATATAAAATAATTATACACAATGCACCCACAAATATTATGTAAAAAAAACTTTTATTTTGGATGTGATTAATCACGATTAATCATTTGACAGCCCTAATATATATATATATATATATACCAAACCAAAATTGGTTATGACAGAGAGATAGATAACAGTATGGATAACAATAATGATAATATAGCTTGTGTTCTAGCATGTTTCCATCATGTTAAGTCCAGGATATCGTTTTATTCCTCAGTACCAACTGCATGGTATAATATTATTTGCATCAGGCTTTTAATAAAGCCTAAGGCAGCTGTGCTGCTTAATGTAAAGCATGTGCTCGAGGGAAAGTGGATGCTTTCCTGTCTATAGCTTAATAGCGTCTTGCTAGTTAGCCTAAGATCACAATACACGATATCAGCAACATTTTAAATACGTCGTTTGTCATTCTGAATGCCGCTATGTATGTTATGCTGATTGTGAAATATTAGGCGCATTGTTGGTCGATAAAAGCAATGACAGAATGAATGGGGGTTGGGCTGCTGACAGCAAAATGATGAGGTGTGACCGCATCACTGACAGATGATAACGTGCGATTAAACTATAGCAACTCACCTGGTTGTAATGCACCCTAAACGGTCTCAGATAGTTAGAGCTGGTGCAAGGAACCACCTGAATATTATTGATCTGCTCCATGGCTTTGATATAGCTGCCCACGGGTACTTCTCACCACAGATGGCAGAGCCGCAGACTACGGGAGAATGAGGGGAAATGTCTACGGAAGCCTGTGAAGGGCAGAATAAGAACGCTGTTTAGTCTTTGCGTTGTTGTAGTAATGCTCTGTAGAGAGAATGACTATGCGGTGCAGAAAACTGCCAGTCAGCTATAGTTTTAAGGATAAGGTCATTCGTTTATTTAATTTTATTTTAAGGTTAAACAACGGACTCTGTCGCCTCAGCACGCCCCCTTTTCGACCTTTACCGGGCGCGCGCCTGACGCGCGCATTAAGGTGTGTGCTTGGCTCGTGCAGGCATTACCTCTCACATAGATAGCGCCAACTCCAGGGAGCGCGTGATTCGCTAAATAAACCGCCAAAAGTCTTTAAAGAATTTAAACCGCCAAAAGTATTGATCAATTTTCTGTAAATCTTTTCAGAAACGTGCACTGCCCAAATTCCTGAATGATTCATTTGACCCCCCACCTTCCTCGACAGGACAACTAAGGTATTTGTTGTGGAAATATTATAAGGTAGTAGTAGGCCTAGTAGGCTATTTGTAGAAAAACGAATTTAACAAGAAAGATTTTGTATTGGCTAATAATAGCCTAACTTATATTGTGAGTAACAACAAACTGTTTATAGCCTATTCGTTTTATTTCTTTAAAAATATTTATATTTTATTATGCATATGTATATACATTTCATATAGTTTTCTTTTTCTTGATTCATTTATTTAATTTATCTGCCAAATGAAAGGATCTTTTTTTAACACAAAAATGGATTGAAAATGTGAAATAATATTATGTTCTGAGATGATAACTGTTCATCATCACACTCTCTTAATTAATCATGCAATGTAGTGAGGTCATGTGAATAATGTAGCATACTGTCTGAAACATTCTTTTATAGCCTACTTTTTCTTTTCCATCTAATAGTAGATGTATTTCATTTTTTCAGTTCTTCATTTTCTGTCTCTTACCCCCACAAACACTCCACTATTGCAGAGTAAATCTTTCTGCTTATCTGATGGCCTTAAAACATCAGTGATGGACCAGTGAATGTCTAAACATGTGGTTTCAATGTAGTTTAGAGAAAACAGAATGCAGCATTTGACATGGATGTCTTAAGAATCGCAGAGGTAAACTGTGTGTTTCATGATTGGTGCAGGGTTTTTTTTTTATCTGACTGTATGCCTCTGCTTGCGTCTCATCAAAACCAGCTGACAAAGCTTATCCTCTCTTGAAACATCTTATAATTCCTTTTCTTCAATGGTTGAAAGGGTAGTGTGTTTGTGGTCCCAGTGCTGAAGTATCAAAACTGTTTTGTGACTCTTGGAAGGACAGCTGAAAGTAGGCTCACAAAGGTCCAGTTTTTGCCCTGCACAATTATTATTATTTTTTAATGAACTTAATTTAATTAAGGAGAACTTTTCCATGCAATTCCATGCACAAACGCCACTCTTCTGCACAACGAAACTCAAAAGCATAACATAAACTCTTTTAAATCACTATTAATATAACAGCACATTAAGCACTAACAAGTCTTTCTCTTTATTGAAAAACACAAAATAACTGTTAATTTCAAAATGTACTCTCCTAATGGAGTCCCATACAAAGCATGCTGGGAACTACAGATCCACTGTCCACTTAGTTGTCAACAAAAATGATTCAAGTAGATTGAACCTAATCATATTAATTTGTGAGAAAAAATGAAAGAATTAAGTTGCTTCAGCACATTTTAACAAAGTAATTTGAACAAGAAAATTCAAGAGTCAGTACTGATCAGAAGTGTATAAAAAATGTATTTTGAGAGATGATGTTTGTTAGTCACCATCTTTTTCACAACCACAGAAAGTGCCCATATGGTGACAATTTTGGTCTGCTCTAGATGTCTGTGATCACACCTTTCACATATAGAAATGACATCATCTTGTCGGTTCATCATCGACAGGTGGAGAATATGTCTATTGATGGCTTGACATGATTTCAGAGACAGCAGAAGTGGAGCGAATTGCTAATTACACGGAGGAATTCACTAGGGACCTACAGTATATGACTGTCAGGTCAAGGTTACAGACATAAAGAGGTCGAAATTGTCGTGCAGTTCCTGAATTATGTATATTGTTTTTATATCCAACATTATTGTCTCATCCAAAGTAATTAGAATGAAATTGACATCGGATTTTTACTAGTTCTGTATCAATTAATTGTCATCAATCAGATGTATTTAAATGCAAATAATTGTATTTGCATTCTTCTTCTATATACCCATATGTTCTGCAATATCCTTGGGCCTTATCCAGTAAGAAATCATACAAATATTGAAAACAAATATTGACCCAAATGTTTTATTTCTCATGTGGTTGGTTTCTCTGTATAACCACAGTGATTAATGTGACGGCAATTCAATCCACAATATACTCCACACCCTGTTCTTTCAATCATATTTCTCATACCTCTAATCATAGTTCTCAGAACTCTCCCACACGAACAGATTCCGCCCATTGGTTCCCCTTTCCTGCCCCTTCCAATCTTCTGAGTTTGACTGGAAAAATACAAGTTCTAATTTGATCTAAATTAGATCTTTTGATGAAGGCGGGGTGGAAGTCAGACGATAAGGCATCATGGAAATTCAGCGTGTTCCTTATAGACCCCGCGGGGTGTGCACCTTTCCAAACATCTTTAGACGCACTACTGTGCAGTACTGTGATTGTGGTTGCCTACAATAATACAATAATCAGTGTAATCACAAAAGCACCATACAGGCCCGGGCCAGGAGGTGTTGAGAGGAGCTGAAGACGTGTAACACCCAGGATGCCCCGACTTTAACGATAAATTCGGGGAGAAAGGGTGATGTCACCCAAACTGCAATAGGGCACTCGGTTTCTGACATTCCGAGGGTCCCAATCTCTTCAAGCCAGTTTCCTCCTCAAAGGGCCAGAAGTCGCACCCTCCATACACTGGCAGGATGTAACACTTTTGCTGGCTGATTTACATCTAAATAAACATTGCCAGACAAAACAATGTGCAACTGGAATGGAAACGCAGCCCTTTTTTCTCCACCCGGCCAATTGATATGAGCCGATTAAACATGGCTGCACTTTTTGATAAGCAGAATAGAGGTTCACAGTCGTAACTTTCGAAGTTGAAAAAGGGGTTCACTGAGAGTTTAAGAGCCTTTCGTGGGGACACTTGATTCGAATATTACAAAAATATACATATATGTTAAGTATTAAATACTTGTTACTTTAGCTATTACAAAAGACACATATATATACGTATATATATTTTTTTTAATATAATTTATCATCTCCATGTTTTAAACTAACAAAGGTCAATCAGTAATGTTACTGATATGAAGAAACACAAGCTATGAAATGAATGATAAACTGCGGTTCAGTAAGTGAGTCAGATGTTGATTCACTAACTGCTCGGATGAATCCAGTTCTGTAAAGGACTTGTCATACTGATTCAAACCGGTGACTTTTGCTGTTGAACTATTCATTGAGAGATCCGGCTCATATGAGCCATTCGTCTGGGAGTCAGACTAGTGGCATTGTATGTTATTATGGATGATCTCTTATTCTACAAGTTTTTTCTTGTGGTAAAAAAAAACAAAAAAAAAAACGTTGTACCAAAAGAGATTAAACATCCACAGGATTTTGAAACTATTTATATAAGGCACTGTAAATATAGCCCTGTGTTCTGCGGCAGAGCTTTTGTGTGAACTGCCCTTGTTTTGAACTGTGCACAGTATCCAAATAAGTAGCCGAAGAAGTGAAAGTCTGAGAACACAAGATAACTCAAGATGAGACATGGCTCATTACACAGTCTATATCTTAAAGCTGAATGGAAAACGGATATCGGATCCCCCGGTCCTCCTTTCAGTCAGCATGAGGCCCCCTGCAAGACCCCCTGTATCTTATCAGACCATCTTTTTGGCTCGGGAGCCCCAACAGAGTGCTAATCCTGCACCCCTGCGCACCTCAGGGCGTCACTGTGGTTTGGACCGTCCCTTCACTCTGAATTACACTCTTTGGCATTGCAACACAAGCCAGGCCACTGCTGGCTTCAGAGAATACAGGGTCATGGAGCCTCACACACTCCTTTTCATATGTCTAGCTTATTCTCTGTCTCCCCTTGTAGTCTAGGCACAGTAGGTTTATCAGCAAGGGGTCAAGCAGGGATTTGCTGTTGCCGGAGATGACAAAGGTCAGACTTCTGGGAATGCACTTAGCTGAGGTGCCTGCAACCCTTCTGTTAGCGTTCACATGGTGTCGAGCCAGACACGACATCCTGAAGAGATTGTGGCCTTGAAGGCCAGTTGCATATGGGTCAATGACATTTTAGTGAGGACATGAGTGTCCACGATATAGAAAAGGATCTTTTCAAAACACGTGGCAATGTACTCTTGTATTCATGTTGGTTTCACATAGTTTTCACATAACTTTGACAACGACTTTGACAAGTCTAAACACGACAACGATGTACTAAAAACCAAAAAGTTTTTCCTGTGTTTTTCACGTGACAACAACGTTTTCAAAACGATGCCCAAAAACTATTAAAAAAACCCACCGTATTATGGTGCCAGGCCAGTACTTTGTAAAGAAAAACGACGTGCCTTTGGACTGAACACGTAATACGCTTGTACATGACGTCAACGTTTTCACAAATTCACGTTTTTGTAGTTTACACAGAGACAATAACGGTATAGTTTTCAAAAATGTGCACTTTGAAACCTGTTTTCACAAGTTTTTATTTGAAAGCGGCCCCTATATATATATATCAGGGGCGTTTCCTCCGAGGAGGCAAGGGAGGCAGTGTCTCTTAAAAAAAACTGGATGAGAAAATAATCTATATTATTACAAAAAAAATAAAACAATGCAAATATTCCAAAATCTGACGTTAAAAAGTGTCAAATTCGCTCGTTTTTCTAAAGTAACAGTGTCCAACAGCAACACCCGCAGGTGAAGTGACAGCGGGAGTCCGCGTCTGTCGTGCATCTGTCCTCCTCATTGACTTAAAACAGATTTGTGCCGTAGGTTTAGTGGGAGGTAATTGAGAATGAATGGGGGAAAGTCACTTGAGAGGAGGCAATGGCCCTATTTCACTTTGATTGGATATGATCGGTTATGATTGGTTTGTGCGATAAATCCCGCATCTTGTTTTTGTGCGCGTTCTCATCGGCCTGAATAAAAAC